GACATCATCCTAGTGCAAAGACAAGTGGAAGCAGACAAAAACAACAAGCACGCATGCTACAAACTTTACCCGAGTCATTTAGACAGCCGTTAGCACATGATTCTCCTTATGGGGACCTGATATGTTTAATATGCTGCTGAGAATATAGCCCAGAAGAAGAGTAGTATAGCTTTTACTTTGGAAAGAGACATTTCTCTGTAATAAACTATTTTTCCAAAGATGAGTGATTTCTCGATCAGATAGATTTTTCTACTTTGTTGTTTCAGCAACATTAAATTTAAGTTGAGTTAAAATATATATTTATAATTTTAATAAATGACAAATTAAAAAGGCATGAACATTTTTTGTATCGAAAAAATATCTAACCGTGACACCAAAGTATCGAACCGAACCGTCAATTTTGTGTACCTTTGCACCCCTAATATATATATATATACATATACATATATATACATATAGACACACACGGACACCCCTTTGATTTAACAGGAGGTGTCTTTGTCAGCCTCTGGATGGCATCCTTCTATTTTTCAGTCTCTTCTTGCTTGGTGTGGTATTGCAGTGCATCTTGGAGTTGACATTTTCAAACTATGAAAAACCCCCCCACAAAAGATTGTTGTTTTGGGTTTTTTTTTCTAGCGCCTTAAAAAATAGTGATACATTTTATAGATTTCTTACCCTTTATATTGATTTCTTTACTGATTTTTTTTGTCAGCACTGTACAAATAACAGCGTTATTTAAATGACACCTGATCCTTGCCCATGGATGTATAGGAAGCATGAAATGTGTTCCTGAAATGTTCCCATGGTGGCACGCCTTCACCTTCCTTTAAGTTAAGCCTCATTTATGTTAGTTAGTTTGTTATGCCGCTTGCTGGTACGTTTTGACAACAGAACCAGATTTAGGATTGTGGCTTTAAAATAAAACATAAAACATCTGCTGTTCTGAGCTAAAAACCCAGTAGCTCTCTCAGTGCGTCTGCAGGATGCAGAGAGGCATGTTTTCAAAGCCTCTGCTTCCCACAGGCCAATCTGTGATGAACCTACAGCTAGCCTGGTCTTCAGTCAGTCTCTCACTTTCTCACTCCATCCATTTCTCATTTCTCTCCAACTCTGCATATTTTCTGTGTGTTTCCTGGAATGACTGACGAAGCTAAACCACACTGCTATTACGTTCATGAAAGCTAGCTAGGCAGATGCCTCACATTGTCTTTTAATTCATGTGACACCTCATTATTCAAGCTAAGTGAGTGCTAATTGAGCTAAATGCAAATTCTCTGTATGTGTGTGTGTGTATGGGAGGGGGGGGGTTACATACACAGTGTGTGTGTGTGTGTGTGTGTGTGTATGTGTGTGTGTGTGGGGGGGGGGGGGGTGTAGGACAATGAAGGCTCTCCTGGTCGTTACTGTTGATTTGTCAGGTTCAGCCCCTGGGATAGAGATCAGATTGGAGGGCTGGAGAACAGAACAGGAGAAAAAAAAGGGGTCAGCATGACTCTAAGAGAGAAGGTTGGTAACAAACCGGACCCCGATGTTAAACCTGTGAACTGAGGTCGGGTCAGTCATTGAGCAGCTGTCTCGACGCGAGATCAAAACGTGTGAAAGTGTCTTGGTAGCCGCAGAGGAAACAGAAGCACACTTCATCTCTGGAGTTAAACAGAATATTTCGGGGGGCCCGAGCGGAAGAAAGGAAGAACATGAATAATACAGAGACAAGTGAAATGTGCGTATGAATACAATGTGAATCTATCGGAATCAACAGAGATGCCTGGCAGCAGGCAGTCGAATGTTGGTATTGTGTGACTTTTCAGAGAGATCTTGTGGCTGATGCTCGTGTGTGTGTGTGTGTGTGTGTGCGCGCCCAAGCGTACACTTGCGTGTATTTAAACCTCTCGCACTCTACCCAGGTGATGTCTCTATTTTTTGTCAGTTTGAACGTTCTCTTGGTGAAACTGTGTGAGGTAGCCGTCTCTCTTTTGTGTGCTCGCTGCTCTGTGCTTTCAGTTTTTCTTTTTTTTTTTTCCTCTTTTTTTTCCGTTCATGTTACTTTTCCAGGCTGTTTCCCCACAGTTGCCCCATGCAGGTTCAAGTGACATCCACTTCTCCTTATATACCTCCTCCCCCTCCCCTCTCTCCTCCTCTTCCTCCTTTCCTCACCTGCCTGCAGAGAGGTCTCAAGTTTCTATCTGGTTTGGTACATTAACATCTCTTTCCTGTTTCAGCTCTTTTTTCCCCTTTAAAGCACAGAACCTTTCCCCTTCCCTCTCTCTCTGACTTCTAATAACCAAACTCTTGGCCTCTCTACCTCAGCCTCCCCCGGCCTCGCACCCTTTTTGCTCTATTTTGACTTCTCACTGTGCCCATGGTGGAGTTTGTGTGTTCTTGGTGTACTCTATGATTTTGTTTGTGTGTTCTGTGCTTGTTGTTTTTGTTATTGTCGTGTTGTATTGTTGTGTCGTGTCCCCCTCCCTCCCCTCCGACTCCTTCCTGTCTACTCTGACCCTCCAAACCCGAGACCTTTGGTGATGGCGTCGCCCTCCCAGCCATCCTTCCTCTCCTCCTTCGCCCTCCCCCTTACCCTTCGTGCATCCTCTCACATCCATCTTCCTCTCCTCTGTCTGTGTCTGTCCATTGTGTGATGTGATCCCAGAAGACACGGACTCACCAAGTTGGACGAACTCAGGTCTGTCCCTTCTTCTTCTGCACCTTCCTTCTTTTCTGTCTCAGCTCCCTCTTCTCCTTCCTCTGCTGTGATTCTCTCTGTACGTCTTCCTGGCTTGCCCTCCCCCTCCTCAAACCCGCCTCCCCTCATCTCAGTCGTCTTTTATTTTCCCGTTTGGCTTGACTCCAATTTCTTGCGGCGTTGCTCTCTTCGTTGTTGTTTAGATGATGCTTCTGGCTTCCATACCATTTCTGCTGCTTTATTTTTTCTGCAGACAGACTGTGTGGGCTTGTCATTCACTAAAGCATGATCACGATCACACCAGTGTGGTTTCTTTGCAGCACGTGAGACACTGTCATTTTCTACCAAGATTTAAAAATAAAAACTTACTGTGAGCGTATGACAGCAGATTTATTCTTTTGATTACTCTCTTTGTAGACATAGATTTGCTACTTTTTCCCTAAATTGATTTCTTTTTGGCCTATTTCAAGTGAAATTTGATGATTCATGTGGTTTTGAATGACTTAGAGTTCCTAAACGCTGCTAATGCAGTGCAGTCAAAAATTTTACTCACTTTAGTGAGTATGGTTTTCATGATCTTGTTCCACAGATTTGCTTTGAAATGAAACAATGATTGCCACACACATTCATGCACAGTCACCGAGTCACTTAAAATGTGGTCTCTTTGCAGTCCAAAACAAAAGGTACAACTTGTTAAGCAGCTAGCCTCTGAGGTCCTGGTTGTTCAGCTTTTTATGTCTAGACCACACGAGGTTAAATGTTTTTATGATAAGCTAAGCTAACTGCCTCGTTTCTCCAGCTTCAAGCATGAAAAAGCCATCAGTCTTCTAGGATCTAACACAATTTATTGTGATGAACTGTCCAATCTTGTTTGTCCAATAAAAATTGGATAAACAGAGCATTGTCATTGCCAATGCGTAACATACAGACGATTTGTCATGTCCCGAGGCGTCTCATAGTAACGAAAGGTACCCTTCCGCGTCCTTATGAGATGCTCCGGATTCTCAATTGAACCCAATAGAATGCCACTCGCGGCGGTAACACACGCTCCAGCCGTGTTACACCCTAACCATACCCATAACCTTAACACTATCAGATAGTGTTTTCCAAAGTGATTCATGATCAGAACGTAAAACACATTTACATGTATACATTCATTCCAAACGGCTCTCGTGCCTCCAAACGCGTAACACACTGGCGATTTGTCACATGCGTTTCTATGTTACAAGTTGAGATGAGAACGTGTTGGTATAAAAGAACATGAACTCAAAGTTGTTCAATTTTAACCTCATATTTATTTATTTATCACGACCACTAAAACGAAGCGATCACAAAAAACGACTTTCTGACTGCACTGGAATTTCAAAAGCAGCTCAGTTACAATCATTTAACAAAGTTAAATTAAATACTATTAGTTAACAAAATACTCCTGGAGAGATGCGAAATCACATGTAGTTTACTAACTGCGTGATGCATCAACTCCTTTCGCTTCACTCATGCGGTCATTCATTTGCTCTGAGCTTGTATTCCTTTATTTTACTCTTTTTCTTTGCTTTTTCGTTTCTCTTTGTGTGCGAGTGTGTACATGAAGGCACGTGAGCATGGCGCCTGTACGTGTGCATTCATCTTCACTCTGTCACTGCGGTCATATGACACAAAAGTAGAGACAAAGAGTAAGCAGGAAAATGGAAATGCAGGAAAAAGCAGGAAAGTCACCATGTGGTGAACATTTTTGCAGAAAAGAAACGGTCACTGTAGAAACTGTTTGTAGCTTATTTTGTCATTTTTAGGTGTGTAAAATGTACACAGTTCCTATTCTTATTGGTATTTGTACTTCCACAGAGGCCTGTGCATGGTTGCGAATGTAAGAATCACATTTGCAGAGCTTAAACTGAAATTGGGAGGTGATAAGATGGGTAAACCGGATGATTTTATGCAATTATAAAAGGACTAAAATGCCTGTCAGTTTTAATCGAGAGGGATGCTTCGGCCAATTAATGTGATCGTTTAGGGATTTCAATTTGTTGTTTAATCATTTCCTTTCATCTAGTTTTTTTTAAAAATGCATCACTAGTATTGTTACATTTAGTGCTGTAGTAGTACTGGAGTAATTTGGCTTAGCATTCAAATGTGTTTTACTGAGGTCAGATAAAAATATTTGAATATTAGTGACTGACTAAAAAGCAGCATTTTTTGTGGGACTTATTGATTTCAAAAATTAGTTTATTATTCTATGCAGCATATGTTTACGGGTTTGTGTTTGTTAAAAACAGCCAACCATTCAGCTTTTCCCATTAGATCTGTCCCGTCATAGCTCATGGCTCATAGCTCAACAGAAGCCTCTCTCACCATAACAGTATGCCCCTCCATGAGGCTCTCCTCACAGTCCACCAGCTCCCAGCTGACTCGCATCTGTCTCTGTGCTCAGGTATGGACATGGAGGAGAGGACCAGACAGATGAAACTAAAGATGAACAAGTACAAGCAGGGAGCTGGTTCTGACTCAAGACTGGAGCAGGACTACCACAAGGTAAAGAAAACACGCCCAGGTCTGCTTAATTTATGCTTCAACACTCCAGAAAACGACGTTCCTACACAAACACTGTTCACAAAGTTCCAAAATGCATGCTCACTGATGTTTGCATCATGCACAGATATGGTCACAAAACATATCAAAACAAAGTGCAGCTGGTAAAGACTCAAAGGCTGGAAAACACAGAGCTGGATACAGCTGTTCTTCTAATCAGCTCATCTGAGTCACAGATATATATTATACACGTCTTTATCCAAAGCTTTGACTTTAAAAAGCGACATGCATCCACAGCGCCAGGATACATTTTATTAATCCTTCCCAACAGTTTCTCAGCAGTGTCCATTGTTAACCCAGAAAAAGTAAATGGAACGATAAGATATCTCAAAATCATTGCACACAAATCTAAAACGACAACAATCTAAAGCCACCTAGAGTTATCTCTATGTGGGAAACTACATTTTTCTCCTTGTCATTTTGGCCAAATACTTCAATACATCACTTTGCAATTTCAAGGAATTGTGTGTAAAGTCCACTGTTTACTACTCTGTTCTGGAGAAGTCCTGAACATGTTTAGAGAGCTCGGCCATAGCCTGCTGTCTCACTGCGGTCTGGTCTGAGACCTAGCAGATGAAGCCCCTCTGTCTGCTTTCCTTTTAAGACAGTGCTATGAAAACTATGGCATTTGGAGTCTATAAAAAGCTGCTGAAATTATTCCCCAGTCCTTGTATGTTGAGCAATATCTTCCCATTGACAAAAACAATGCTAATAAAGGCAGTTACTGTAACACTCCGTCCAGATTTAGTTACAGTAAACAGCCAACTAAAACATAAGAAGATATTATATACACATCCACGTTCACAAATGTGCTTGGACTAAGTCTGTGCCAAGATCATCCCAGCCCAGTTCAGCTTCCAGGAAAGCCTGTGTATAAAGTTAGTTGAGTAGAATCCGACTTTGTGAGCCAGTTGACTGTCACTGGATTAAACAGTATATGGTAACTGTCTTCCTGCCACTTATGGTTAAGTACTCATGCAAAACTTTGTATGTCTAAATCAGAATATTATTCATTAATTTTTTTAGTAAAATGTACATGAAGTATTAAGAGTACAATTACATGAGATCACAAGTCTTCAAAAATGGAAAACAAACACATTACCTGATTGAAATTTGCCTGTTTAAGATCATCTTCTTGTGCCACTTTTGACTGTTTTAAGCGTGGGTGCAGTGTTTAGATCGCACTCTACAAGTCCTCATGCTTGTATGTCTGCGATGCATTCTGGATCTCATCCAGTTAATCAGAAGGATGATACCTCAAGTTGTTTTTAATTTTTGGAAAGTTCACAGTCTCTGTGGGACAAGTTCTCAGAGCACAACCCTGATTTTGCTCCACCCAGTCTTCCACTGAAAAGTGCTCGTTTTTAGTTAGACATTCAGCTTCTTCCCCAGTGACAATCATACCCTAAAAAATTAGCAGTAAAATTGCACATCACAAGCATTAAGAAGCAGGCATACAGGGAATGACTTTTGCCAATTTGTTTTGCATGCTGAAGTAAGTTATAAACCATCTTATTACTTAATCCCCGTAACCCTGCTTTGTATGAGAGCCTTAGCCTGTATATAAACAATTGACAAGACATGACAAGAATCTTTGTTTTATGAAGTCCCGTTTTAAAGCGTGGAGAAAAGCGTTTTAGTTGTTGCCATCTGGGTGTTTCAGAGCCAGGAGTGACCATATTTGGATGACTCTTTGGAGTCCTAAGTTGTCAGCTAATGCTAACAAGCTTGGTTAGGAAGGTACATCACACAGACATAAACACCTGTTATGAGCAATTCTATGTAACACACAAAAAAGCCTTCCAGTATTACTAGCCAATCAGCAAAACTGGATTACATATTTCATGGATAGGCTGTTGGCAAGCCATATTGCACCTACAACCAATTGTTATCACACAAATCTGTCACACTGCTAGGCATAGCTTTAAACTGGGTAGTTGTTGAAAAAGAAGAGAGCGTGCAAAAAGGAAACCAACGGCGCAGAGCGAGGTTCCCAGGTGTGCTGTGATGCAATCAAGAACAATTGGACTTTCTAATAGTTCCAATGTTTGCTAGCTTAACTTAAGTGCCTGCAAATATCTTTCAAAACAATGTCCAAAAAATTTAGTTTATTGAACAGTTGCTGATGAATGTTCCATCTTTGGTCTCTGGCAACAACACTGTATGGACTGTGATTGATCAACAGCTTCTTGTAAACTTTATCACAAGTTTAATCACAAGTGTGCGCATTATTTCTTTGTCTGCATTGTTAATCGAACACAGTAATGCAAGAGCAGGCAGAGCTTGACATATTCAAGTTAGAAACTCATAGAAAATAAACATGTTAATCCACGTTACACGCGTGTGCTGCACTTTTTCTCTCGTAGTTTGTTGGGAGGAGCTAAAATGGCTCTTTTGATGTTGAAGATTGTCGACGCCCGGCCTGGACCAATGTTAGGTTTATTTCTGCTGTGAAACTGGGCATTTTAACATAGGAGCTTGCTTGTGTGACATCTTCAAGGGGCCACTGAAGAATCTGCAGTTTTGTCACTTTTGCAACAGTTTTATTTTTTGGCCCTAGTTCCCAATTCAAAAATCTAGTTTCCAGAATTCATTTTACTTGTTTCTCTAAAACACGCATCATGTTTGTTTATAAAGAGTGTGAGTAAGTGTGCAAATATTAGACATGATCTTGCACAAAAAGCACTGGGAGAATGAGAACTATAGTAACAAATGCTTTAGGTGCTCAGTTAGATTAGAAAAGCACAATTTAAGTAGCAGTCCATTTACCATCTAATATATCCATGCTAGATAGATCCAAAGCATAAATTAGCTCAAATGTAAAAAGTCAATTAAAATCAACAAGACAAGCCTGTGAAAACCTGCAACACACACACAAACAATGGATGCTGATCAGAAGCTGAATGAAACGAAGACATGCTTTCGTGTGCCATTCCAGCCTTTTGTACACAAAAATGAAAGTCAAGCTGAAATTGTGGATGTCATTTATAACTTTTCCCAGTCTCTGAACCTGGTAAGACCAAATCTCAAACCATGAACCCCTGCGGTATTTAACTGCAAGCGCAATGTTTTCCCACTACATAATTAAAATACTGACCTTTAAAGTCGCTCACCTAATATGCCTAACGTAAAAATAGTGTGCATATTTCTTCTTTTTTATTTACATTCAACAGCTTATTTCTGAAATACTGCTTGTCTTGATCAAATAGTTTTCCCTTACAAGGCAAAGACGTAGAAGTCATTTTAGAAATCTCTACCCTTTGGTAATTTGTTGAAGTTTTCATTGGGACTATTTTAGCAACAACATTTTGTACTTGTTAAAATTGTTGAGTGCTCAAAAAACCCTAAACTTGTGATATCTGATGTCACCATACTTTATGTCTCATTCTTTGCCCTCTTTGCAGCGTTCAGGCAGAGATCCACGGGGCTCCGACAACTTGTCAGCCAAGTCGTCGGACAGTGATGTAAGCGACGTGTCCGCTGTGTCGAGAACCAGTAGTGCCTCTCGGTTCAGCAGCACGAGCTACATGTCTGTCCAGTCAGAAAGGCCGCAAGGAAACCGCAAGATCCGGTAGGCTGATGCAAACTTTGTGTCGCTCTTTAAATTACCATCAAGCTGGAAGGGACAAACCCCGCCCCCCTCAGCGGTGAACCCCATATTCATTACCATGTCCAGACGTTTTCAAATTTGAAACTGTTTGCACATGGTTACTCGAGGAGAAAATGCCCCTCCTGTAGCGCTGCGTGTCATTTTCTCCCTGTGATGAGTTCAAGTTTGGCTCCATTTTAGAGAATCTGGAGCCAAGTGGTTGAACTCTGTTCCTTCACGCTGTGGGGGAAGTTTGTCCATATCTGGCAGTAGTCACTGAAACATTAAACATATTTCTACTCTTTGGGTGTCGTCTCATATCAAAGCAAAAACAAACTCCTCTGCATGGTGCTTTGCTTTAAGTCTACGTTAGTTCTTCTGTGATTTAGAATCAGTCTGCTTTTGATCATGGCTGCGTTGCATCTCTGTGTTCGTCTCTCTTTTGTTGTTGACATTGTTCACGCTTTGTTTGTTTTTTTCTGTTTTTTCTGTTTCTTTTGGCTTTGCGTGTGCTGCTCTTTGTGCCTCTGTTTCCATCTTCAGCCAGTTGCGATCGAGGAGCCATTCTCGGGAGGGGGATGAGCAGTTAGGAGAAGTGAGGGAGGAAGAGGAGGCAGGAGAAAAAGGCAGAGGGGCTAGTAAAGAAGGAAGGGTGCAGAGAGGGGGGAAGGAGTGGGAGGGAAAGGTAGACGCAGGCAAAGAGCATCAGAAGGATTTGGTGGAGAAAGAAGAGGACTTGCACCAAAGGAGTATCTCAGAGACTGACCTCAGGTAACACATGTGTAGCAGCTTCAAACTGTAGACTAACAATGATGAAGAAAACTACTAACAGTAGTATAAATCCCAGTGGACGACTGTCTTTTGCACATTTATATGAGGACGTGCAAGACAGAGTGTGGTGACTACCCTCCTCTCTTTACCTTGATGATGGTGTAACTGTGGCCCTGTTGACCTTTAACAATACTAAGGTAGAGTAGCATTAATATTTTACACTGCTTAAAAAAGATAAAGGAACACTTTTTAATCAGAGCATCAAGTCAGTTCAACTTGTGGGTTGGTGTTAAACTTTTTCTTTGATGGTAATGAAATCATCAACAGGTGCATTAGAGGTGCATAACCTCAAAAACAGGAATGGTTTTCCAGGTAAAAACCAATGATGTTTTTCCCTCATCTTTTCTGACTGTTTTTTCAATAGCTTTGCATTTGGCAAGGGTCAGTGTCACTACTGGTAGCATGAGGTGGTACCTGGACCCTACAGAGCTTGCACAGATAGTCCAACTCCCCTAGGATAGCACATCAATGTGTGACATAGCCAGAAGGATTTTTGTGTCTCCCAGCACAGTCTCAAGAGCATGGAGGAGATTCCAGGAGACAGCCACTTACTCTAAGAGAGCTGGACAGGGCCGTAGAAGGTCCTTATCCCATCAGCAGGACTGGTATCTGCTCTTTTGTGCACGTAGGAACAGGATGTGTGCTGCCAGACCTACAAAATGACTTCCAGGAGACCGCTGGTGTGAATGTCTCTGACCAAACAATCAAAAACAGACATGATGAGGGTGACCTGAGGGCCCGACGTCCTCAAGTGGCCTCTGTGCTCACTGTTCAGCACTGGAGCCTGATTGGCATTTGCCATAGAATACCAGAATCAGCAGCTCCACCTCTGGTGCCCTGTGCTTTTCAGAGATGAGAGCAGGTTCATTCTGAGCCCACGTGACAGACGTGGAAGGGTAACATCGTTCAGCATGACCAATTTGGTGGTAGGTCCTTGATGGTCTGAGGAGGCATAATCCATGGAGGGACCCACAGGCCTCACACACCCTGACGGCCATTAGGTATCAGGATGCAATTCTTGGACACATTGTCAGAACTTATACTGGTGCAGTGGGTCCTCCTGGTGCACAACAATGCCCGGCCTCATGTAATTAGAGTAAGCACATTGTTCATGGAGGATGAAGAAATTGATACTACTGACTGGCCTCCATGCTCAACTGACCTACATCCAACAGAGCACCTCTGGGACATTATGTTTTACTCAGTCCACGCTGCCAAGTTGCACCTTAGATTGTCGACGAGCTGAGTAATACTCTGGTCCAGATTTTGGGGGAGATCTCCCAGGACAGCAGTGGTCATCTCAATAAGTGCACGCTCCAGTGTTGTGAGTCATGCACACATCCCATTGGGATCGAATGTATTTTTAAAGTGTTCCTTTTAACGTTTTTGAGCAGTGTATAATGGCAGTGACATGAAAACAGTTGGTGTCCATGCAGTCTGTTCACACATCAGATAATGTGAACTCTACAGTTACTATCTAAAGAATAAACTTTATCCTGAATTTATAGTACTGCACTTAATCAGAGCTTGCTTTTACCGTATGCCTGCAATGCTCTGACACCACGAGGAAAACTGAGCTCTTCATGTTTCATGCTTTTAAACAACAGTTACTTTTATCGACATGCAGGAAGTAGAGAAGACCTTCGAACCAATGAAAAAGAGCAATGAAAACAAGAAAAACTGCATGTTTACTATGGAAAAATACTATTAGGATTATGAGTGTGCTAGATACAATCACAGCCTATTGCTTTATGTTTCACATAGGTATCAGCCTTTTGCTGATCAATATTTATGAGACATTTATGAGAAAGTGAGCACCAGGTTATGGCACAAATTTAATGCAGTACTGTAAATCCAGCATTACCACAAGGTGTACTGCAAGACCCTCGTAAACATCAATTTTTGATTTGCTAAGAGGTTCAACAAAGTGCCTCCCTGTATTAAACGTATAACTGTACATACAAGTGATGATGATAATAATAATAATAATAGTCACATTCACACAAAGTGTGCATAGAGATGTACAGTAAATATAAAGTCGAAGACTTATTTAAATCAGAAGTTAGGTGAACTGTTGATATTTTACTACACATCATAAAAGCTGTTGTTTTTCTGAGTGGACCTTCATGTCTAAATGTTTAGTGAGCCTTGGCTTCTTGCCTTGGCATATTAGAAGCTTGGCTTCTAACATGTTAAGACTATATTTAACATGACACTATTTCCTGGTAAACCACAAGAGACCGTGGTTTCATTTTTGCACTGTGCTGGACTAGCAGGTCTGAAAATTGTGTCAAGAGCAAATTCAAGAGCAAAATTTATTTGGAACAGAAAGAAGCTTAGCTTGCACTCCTGATAAGATGTCTTTACCATCAAATCACATTCACAGCAGGATCCAAGCAAGCGCTTCTCACCAATATTAGTTCTGCCCCTCGGTCTTAACAGAAAACACATTAAGATAAAAGCTACACCCTCTCACGCGTGATTAACTCTACACTAGTGTGCACCGTCTGATTGAGAAGGTGCACTCTGCACATGCGCGTAGGAGGCTAAATGCACATGCAGAAACAGGAGCAGATCCACTGAAGTGTAAGTAAATTGTACTTACACAGTGGATCGTGGATTATACAGTGCAAACAGAAGATTAGGAAGTCCTAACGCTTTGCCCACTCATCCATCGGTTTGCTCTGAAGTTGCTGTGTATATTGCTTTATTGTGTGTGCTGTGTTGTGTTGGGATGCTGCATCAGTATTTTATCAGTCAGTGTTCTTCACTTGCTCCCCTGCAGTCATGTTTTGCACGTGCAACTTGTCGACTCAGACCTCCTCCTTGTCTCCAGCTACTCCTCGATATTTCCCTGTTTTTATGTGTCACATCACAAACCTCATACTGATGACCACGGGGTAATCACTTTCAGTGAATTCACCGGAAACGTACAAATGAGATTTGAAAAAAGCCGACTTGAGCACACGTGTCCCAGAGATTTGATTTAAGCTACAATGCTGCAGTTGCAACGTGTTTCATCTTGACTGAAAGTGAGCTCATTTGGTCCTACTTTAAAAAATGCTGGCAACTCTCATCTGTGTGATCAACCCTTGTTCCTTCATGACAGCTACAGTATAAACTGATATTCCACCTAGTTGTGAGTAATGCAATATTCTGCTTTTTGAGATAAAAAATCAAACACTCCGCGTCGTTTTGTTCATTCAGGTTTGCTCACTGAGTCATGATTTTTGCAGCTGCACACAATAGAAAAAACAAAATTGCTGCATGCTAATAATCTTAGGATCTGTGAGATAGAGCATGTATGAGATAGAACATTTAGCGTATCTGTTATTCATGCCACTGCATAGTCAATTGTGCCACTGGGCATTGAAGCCACAAATCTCAGAACTTGAACCGTAATCAAGCAGAGAATATCTATAGGTAAAAAAGCTTTTCTATGAGAGCCTCCAGATTTGAAGTCAGAATACTGAAAACAGTCAATCACATGTATCGAGATGATTTGAGGAGTCAGCAAGTGACACGCAATGTGCTTCAAGTTACAAAAGATGCATTCGCTGCTCTCCTTATCTGTGTGTGTGAAAGTAGTAAAGCAGTGTGATTTAGCAGAAACATGGCCACCAGCTACATCTATTTATGAGTCATCTCCTATGTATTGAGGTCACAGTGTAAATACACATCTGCTACACATTAAACAGGCTTGGCATACGAGCATCATGATAGCCGTGTGTGTTTTTAGTCCTTTGAAGACAGAAGCGAAAATCTCTGCTCTGAATGAGACTGTCGTATCCAAGTTACAGCTTAAGATAAATATGAGATCCAGACTTTAATGAATCACTTCAATTCTGCTCACTGCAACCTCTGCAAAAAAAAAACACAAAAGAAATTTGACAGGCATGAACGCATGCTAATGCTCTGATTTGGGGCACGGTTGCCACGGTACCTGCACTTTTCCATACATCATTTATGATTCACCTTTAATAACAGCTGCTCCTTCCTTGTTGTTAGTGAGACTAAATAAATAAAATGTATATTTCACCCCAAAGTTGCTTAATATCTATTGACTCATTTCCTTTTAGAAGACTTTATTTAAATGTTTACCATCGGTTTCTAAAAATGATCAATACATGATACAGTATGGAGATTGGCCTATTAAAGACAGCTTTGTGTAGGAAAACCTGTCTACATTTTTGCAACACCAAAGATTTCGAAGGTATTTTGGGGTTGGGTTATGCTTTGGGAACATGTTGGCCTAGATGAAAATGCATGGTGAGCAATCTGCATGATGAGGAGCTCTGTGTTCTTTGAGCTGAGGTTGAAAATCAGAAATCCCTGGAGAGACCCAGTTTTCCAAGTAGGCATATTTACACAGCAACCCTGGATTGATTGCCCAGACCTGTTCAGAGAGTGGCGAAACTGTAATGAGAGGAGGTGCGAGAGATTTTATGCACTTGTTTTTATTGAGGACAATCAAAGTAAGGTGTCCTTTTACACCAGTTTATGAGAGTATGAAGAATCATGAGACTATGATTTACTTTAGAACAGTGTGTCCATTAAGAGCAGATGTTTGTGCATTTTGACAAAAAAAAAACAAACGAAAAATAAAAGCGCCGTCAATTCAGTTAGAGCCAAATGTTTATTCAATCCAGTTGCAAGTTCACCCTTTAGGGAACAAACCATCATAGACCCTTAGTGGTTTGGGTATAATTCATCTGTTCCGATAATGGGTAGAATGTGTCCACGTACCGGCAGTGTTCATCACTTTAGATTAAATATTATTATTGGCCATCCTCCTAGAGAAGGATTAAAGTTTGCCTTTGATATAAACGTGGTGACAGGCACTGTGTGTTCTATTAGACAAGTAGGGAATTAGACGAGACATTTATTCCATCAGAAGAATACATTTCATCTCATTTCCTATTTTGTGTCGCTAAATATTTTACAGAACATAAATTTCTAATTGAAAGCTCTGCGCTCATGCATTTTAACCTCAGCTGGCAATCATTGTTAGAGGCCACGATCCCCCCTGACCTCGCTGCTGTGCTGATGTAATGAAAGAAGCGGCGCGATCGCCGTGTGAGGAGCAGATGAAATGCAGCCTCACTGCGATGATGGTGAAAGAGCATATTTTAGAATGTCACCTGTAGCACACGGGCCCGTGGTGCCGGCCGAGCGCTTGGAGTCGTCTTCAAAGCCTCTGGGCTGCAATAACCGATCAAAGGCGCTAATCTCCCAATAAGCATTCAATATTTATGTGTTGAAGCACAGGCTGATACTTAACAGAAGCCACTGGTGCTAGAACTGGTATAAACAAAAGGTTTGCTAATGGTGGCTGGGGTACGAGGTGCTCTTTTAACAGCACACCTGATTTATTTCACCAACAGCAGCTGAAAAACAAAATATGAAGTGCAGACCGCCAAAACAGGATACGCATGTGCCAGTGTATACTATCCACGCCAGCATAGCAAGGAGTGACATGAGCAGCCATTACTACGTGCTCACACATTCATGACGGTTCCATATGTTGTTTATAAGCTAACTGCCTGAGAATGTGCGTGAGACAGACGAAGGCCTGGTCGACTGCTGATGTTTTGGCATGGCTGATTGTTTAAACTAAAAGCACCACTGTGTTCATGCGCAGGACAATGAGATGTCGCAACCATATCAGACATAAACTCCAGCATTTATCAAATACAGCAGAGTGTCTGATATATGTGAAATTTGGAGTACGATTGAATTAATTGATGGAATCAGTCGTCAAAATGTATTAAACCTTCCCGTTTTACCCAGCACATCTTTCTATGAGTGGTCTTTGCAACGCAGTTACATGATGGAGGTCAGACACTTAAATTAATGAGGGTGCTACACGTAACTTATCCCATTAAGAATTCAGAGCCTATGATACAGAATGTAATTTGTCTCTTAAAGATAATTTTACTGGCAGGGCTAAAATAGGACCCTCATTTGAACACTGGCCTATTTCCTTTCAAACTGCAGGAGCTGGAGAATAATGCTGATGACAGGCAACTTTTCTGTGTGCAGCTTTGAGCGCTTGATCACAAGTCTTACCTACTTGTGGATGTCCGTGAACTTTTCATTTAATAAATTAATACTTTGATTATTAAATTAATACTCAGAATACTACCAGAGTCTTAGTTGATTAGTGTCTTTAGACATCTTAAATCAAAAAACTAAATAACCTAACAGATAAAATGCAGAGTATTAACTCTATGTTACTCCCGATTTCCCAAACGGCTTCAAAACTTTTACAAACCCATTTACAGAGCTGGAGAGTAGGCTATGGTTGGTCTTTCACTGCATGAAAAGGCTTTAGAATATACACTACATCAGTGTCAACCTCATCTATACTGTAAGTCATGAACTCCTGTACCTGAACTCTGTCCTTTTCTCCTTTTCACCCCACACCTTGTCATCTACTATCCCTCTCCTCTCCTCTTCCATCCTCTCCTTCTGTTTCCTCCTCCATCATCTCTCCATTCACATCCCCCTCCACTGGCTTCCTCTCTCCCCTTCTCTGCCCTGTCCTCTCTTCTCTGTCTTCACCTGTCCCCTTCCCTCCCCCCCATCTATGGTGGTGGCTGACAGTGACTTTGCATCCAAAATGAAAAACAGGCAGATGGGCTCATCGGGTGGGATGAACATGACCAAGAGCACAAGCATCAGTGGCGACATGTGTAACCTGGAGAAGACGGACGGCAGTCAGTCGGACACGGCGGTTGGCACGGTAGGCACTGACGACAAGAAGAGGCGCTCCAGCATTGGTGCCAAAATGCAGGCCATGGTTGGCATGTCGCGCAAGAGCCGGAGTACCTCTCAACTCAGCCAAACAGGTAGGGCATCCAGTCACACAGCCAGCGTGCTCCCAGTGTTCAGTGTTGCATCTGTCCCGTGGCCTCTCGTTGTCTCTGTGTTGACTTTGCTTCGTCTCGCTCTGTTCTTGATACCAAGTACTAATTCTTCTATTTCCAGTTTCCCCTCAGATTTCTTTTTTTTTTTAGTGCAAGGGCTTTGAGCTGAAGAAAATACTGTTAACAATGTTTTCTCTTTTCTCTAGGTAACAGTGAATTCAACTCCTCTCTCCCCTTTTTGCTTACCTCCCTTTATTCTTTTCTTTGATATTTTACTCAGTTTGAGTTGTCCTTTCCGAGCCCAAAGCTGCTCATTTGTTGTGCTTATGATGTGCAAATTTGTGTTTTCATGTTTTCATTCTGGGAAACTGGATTTGATCCTTCCAAACACAACTAAAACACAATTTTCAATATTTGTCACATTTTTTTCGTTTGATGCTCTTTTGACTGTGATTTTTTTTTTTTTTACTATTGCCATCTGCAGTTGTATTTGTTTCCGGGTGCACGTGAGAACATGTGAGACCACGTGCACGTGCGAGATATGAACAAGAAAGGGTGTGTTGTAACTGAAAGTAGTAATGTGTATTTTTCTGCTGTGGAAAAGGGGCTTTCGCTATTCTACACTTTGCAAGGTGTTCTGTTTTTTGGGTTTGGTTTTTTTTCCATCTTGCTTTCTTTTCAAAATTGCTTATTACCTGGTGCCACACAGTGTGAAAAAACAGCCTAGCAGGTGGTGTGCAGCGAAGTTTGTGGATGACAGATTGGAGTCTGGTCTTTTCATGCGAAGGTCAGGCGATTCGTCCACTCCCCCTGCGAGGCTGTGACCGTATCTATTCATCTCGCCTATTCAACCTTAAGGTGGCCAGTAATCACTTCTGTCCATTAGCGCTTTCTCCAATACCACAGCAGGGGGGTGAATGCATGTGTATGATGAGGAGGGACGAGCGAGAAAGTGGAGAGATGGTACGCTCACGTGGCGTTGTGCTGTCCCCCACCCCTCCCTGGCTCGTGATTTAACTGGCACATGGGCTGCTGCCTTATCTCTGCGGGTTAATAACGGTACTAACTGTTAATCACATCAATATGACAATTAGCCCGTCTTTGCAGCTATTATACGATTTTTATCGTATAATTGCTAGGAGATGCTAATGTTTTTGACAATGAAGAAGGTTTTTGTTGCTGAATAAGATGAACCCTCTGAAGTTCAATTTTGAGACCAGTAGAAACAAATGGCATTTATTCTGACTTTTATATGGATACAGATTTTGAAGATACTCATTTTAGCAGACACATGAACATACTTTCTTTAATAGTGCGTACAGAGCACATACTGAGCAGCCCGGACCTCCTCGGGCTATCAATATTTTACTCATTGCTTTTAAGTGCATCAGAGAGAGTTAGTAAGAGTGTGCATGCATCTCCCTTTCAGTATCTGTATTTGTTTCTGCACCAGCACGTACACTGCTAAGTTGTCTTGTGTCCTACTTTGTTGTGCGCTGTGCTGGGAGGCTCTTTGCCCGTTTCAAAGGTGCATTCAAAAGCATGGCTGATTTTTCTTTTTGTTTT